AAATAAAAATCTTCAGTTAATAAAAAAAAAATATTCTTCACACGGTAACAGATGGTCGGTCGCCGGTCCCTCCCTCCCTCCCCCCCACCCCCCACCAACGTCCCTACTAGATAAATGTGTGGGAATACCACTGTTTACCTTTTTAGTAATAAATAATAAATCAGACTAAAGTTAGGATAATATAATTGACATTGCTGGATTCCTTGTAAGACCAGGAATATTTTGAATATAAATATCATATATTTTCCACAAAAGATAACATATTTACTCAAGAGTAAACATTATATCTAAAATTTGTGTCTAATGCAAAACCTATGATGTTTATATTCAAAATGATCATCAAATTGTAAGAATTCCAGCAATGTAAATTATATTCTGGCCGGATAATTTGTATGAATTTTATGAGCTAAATTAAAAAAAATTATACTTCACCGTGTAAAGGGGTACACCCACCTCCGAATGTGAGCATCCTGGGTTCTGGCAGGGCACCGCGTAAACGTGGAATGTGGGACCGCGTAAAGTGAGGGTTGACTGTATACAGTGGGGTATGCTATAACGAATCTAATTGGTTCTAGAACCTTGTTCGTTATAGCATTCGTTCGTTATAGGATTAATCCGTTCCAGGCCCCCAAATACAACCACTTAACACTGAAAAATATAATATAAAATTGTAAAAATTGTAAAAAAGTGCATAAAGATGCATCTAAACCCCTGAAATAAAGAATATCATTAATATTTGTAATAAAAAACAATGAATTAGAAAAAAAAAATTAAATAATGTTCGTTGTAGGAGTTTCGTTCGTTATAGCATTCTCAATTTTATAGGTAAAACCGTTCGTTATAGGAATATTCGTAGTAGAATCCGTTCGTTATAGCATGCCCCACTGTGTGTGTATATATATATATATATATATATATATATATATATATATATATATATATATATATATATATATATATATATATATATATATATATATATATATATATATATATATATATATATTCATGTAAATTTCATTTTGTGATTTTATCAAGATATATATATATATATATATATATATATATATATATATATATATATATATATATATATATATATATATATATATATATATATATATCTTGATAAATCACAGGAAAATGGAAACAACGGAGTACCTTAGCTTGCTCTTTATTCAAGACATCTTCAGAGGCAACTCACGGTTGTGTTGGTGTGGGGATTAGTGGATGTCATCATTATGACCTGACCTCATGTTTTAGGTCACCCTGTATATTTAAGCCTCTCTCTGTCCATGTAATCTAGTTGCTGAAGATGTCTTGAATAAAGACTTAAAGCTAAGGTATTGTTTCCATTTTCCCCGTGATTTTATATTTATTCTCCCATCATTGTTGATTTACATGAAATATATATATATATATATATATATATATATATATATATATATATATATATATATATATATATATATATATATATATATATTTTATATATATATATATATATATATATATATATATATATATATATATATATATATATATATATATATATATATATATATATATATATATATATATATATATATATATATATATTATTTTATATATATATTTTATATATATATATATATATATATATATATCAATATCAGTATTCTCGGTTAATCTAACTCAATCCGCTCCAGAAGGTCGTTTCGTTAACCTAAACGTTCATAATCCTAAACCATTGTTTCAATGGGTTTTGGCATTGGTTCCAGCTCACCGAAAATTTTGAAAATTTCCAAATTCCCAACAACAATGGTAGAAAGTTCACTTACTTTTGAGGTAAAAGTGGTGAAGGCTCCTGGATGATGATGATGATGATGTGGATTTAGAATGGGGTGGAGGAGAAGGAAGAAGAGAATAAGGGAAACAGAAGAAGTCACCCCATGGTGCCATTTCACCCATAAAAATTTAGCTCTCTGTTTAACGTAAGATTATTTCTTTTAAATCAACGCTGCACTGCATTATATACAATATATAAAATATATTTCCAAATGACCACTAATTTGCTTGGAAACACAGAAAAAAGCGTTTAGTTGAAGAGAAGCTCCCTGGCGCAAGATGTTACCTCCAGGAAAAACAGAGAGAGACTGGACGCTGTTTGCTGTGTTAAGAGGCTGGATGCCGTGATTAAACTAGTCACTTTACCTTAATTTGTCAATAATTGTTAAAAATGACTGAAAATTGAATATTAAACTTTTAAAATTACTGAATAGTATAAACTTCTTGGATATTTAAAAAATAGGTATGGGTTCTAGGCCCCAGAACCGTATTAATGTATTATGACCGATACTGTGCTGGTTGTCTGTCAGTGTTAAAGATGTTGGAGGTCGCCAGGCAGTTCGTTGTTTAATTTTTTTTTCGTTAACCTAATTGAAGATCCCAGGAAGGCAGTTCATAATTTAAATTACGCTAACTGAGGTAAATTATGAAATCCAGGGGTCATTGTATATATATATATATATATATATATATATATATATATATATATATATATATATATATATATATTTTAAGCCCTAGAACCGATTAATGTATTGACTGATACTAAAGCTGGTTGCCCGGTCAGTGCAAGCGAAAACATGTTGAGGTCGGTTTGTAAGAAGTTCGTGGTTAATTTTTTTTCGCTTAACCTAATTGAAGATCCTTATGGAAGGCAGTTCGTTAATCGAATTACGTTAACCGAGGTGTTCGTTAAACGAGGGTCACTTTTATATATATATATATATATATATATATATATATATATATATATATATATATATATATATATATATATATATATATATATATATATATATATATATATAGTTGTACCTCACTTAACGTCAATAGAACCCAGAGGGTCCCGTGTTATGAACTCCAAGTAAGTGAACAACAGAACATATGGGATTAATTCCAATAGAAACCGCCCTACCCCAACTCCACTTTTGAAGACACATAACTATGTTGTAGTAAAAATAACATCTTAATTTTATGATGGTACATGCACACAATTAATACTTAAGAGAAATAGAGAAATACAGTCGCCAAGTTAATGTCCATTCAAATAATGGACTCAACTCCCTCCCCTCTCACACTACACTGCCGCTCCTTCCCTCTGGAGAAATTTTTGGGGAAAAACCACTAAATTTTAATAAATAATACCTCAAACTAAAGTTAGATAATACAATTGACATTGCTAGATTCCTTGTAAGACTAGGAATATTTGAATATAAATGTCATATATTTTGCACAAAGATAACATACTTAGATTAAAAATTTTATATAAGATTTGTATTCATGCTATATGATGTTTATATTCAAAATGATCACCAAATTGTAGATTCCAGCAATGTAAATTATATTCTGTCGGGTAATTTATGAATTTTATGAGCTAAAACAAATATCTTCAGTTAATAAAAAAAAAATATTCTTCACGACACTATCTGTCAATCAAGTACCCCGCAGCCCCCTCTTCCAACCACGCGGTCAGTCCCAACCCTCCCCCCCACCAATCCTCCCTTCAAGAGATGTTGGGTGAAAAATTTAGATTTTAACATTTTGTATTAAATAATACCTCAGATTAAAGTTAGGATAATATAATTGACATTGCTGGATTCCTTGTAAGTCCAGGAATATTTTGAATATAAATGTCATATATTTTGCACAAAAGATAACATACTTACTCAGATTAAACCTTTTATCTAAAATTTGTATGTCTAATGCAAAATATATGATGTTTATATTCAAAATGATCATCAAATTATAAGAATTCCAGCAATGTAAATTATATTCTGACCGGGTAATTTGTATGAATTTTATGAGCTAAAACAAATATCTTCAGTTAATAAAAAAAAAAATATTCTTCACAGGGTAACAGATGGTCGGTCGGTCCCTCCCTCCCCCACACCCCCCACCAACCGTCCCAAGGAGATGTGTGGGAAAACCAGAATACTTAACTTTTTTGTAATAAATAATACCTCAAACTAAAGTTAGGATAATATAATTGACATTGCTGGATTCCTTGTAAGACCAGGAATATTTTGAATATAAATGTCATATATTTTGCACAAAAGATAACATATTTACTCAAGAGTAAACATTTTATCTAAAATTTGTATGTCTAATGCAAAATATATGATGTTTATATTCAAAATGATCACCAAATTATAAGAATTCCAGCAATGTAAATTATATTCTGGCCGGGTAATTTGTATGAATTTTATGAGCTAAAACAGGCAGTCAGGCAGGGTGGCGGGTGGGGCAAATCTAAAAATAGCGTCTCGAGCCGGACACTCACCGCGTATATGATGAAAAAATCCGTGTTAAGTGAAAGTTCAGCTCTGGCGAGGAACCGCGTATATGATAAAACGCGCTAAGTGAAACCGCGTTAGGCGGGGTAATACTGTATATATATATATATATACATATATATATATATATATACATATATATATATACACATATATATATATACATATATATATATATATATATATATATATATATATATATATATATATATATATATATATATATATATATATATATATATATATATATATATATATATATATATAGTGATTTAAAGGCGATTTAGGGGAATTTTAGGAGTGTTTCTGACTTTATTCATTTTTGGCTTTAATTTGTATATACTTTTCTTTGAGCTGGAACCAATTACCCAATATCCCATTGAAACTATGGTTTCAGTTAACGAAATTTTCGGTTAGCAAACGACCCTCTGGAACGAATTGAGTTCGTTAACCGAGGGACCACTGTATTGGATATCCTTTTTTCATTAACTTAATTTTTTTAACCCCTCCAATACATCTCTCTTGAATTTCAAATGTACCCTCAGTGCAGCACTTTTGACAGGTTTCTGTTACATCTACAGTATAATAGATCCACAGTCAGCTGCTAGAGGCAATGAATGAGTTAAATTAAATTGTATTTGTAATTCTTCTACATTTCAGAGTTTGGGTCTGGCACTGTGGGGAGGATGGAGGTTTGTTTGGCTCTCACTAACAAGTTTGACATGACAGAAACAGCAGAGGATAAAGACACGAAAGATTCTAATAAACTTTTTAGCAGGTACAGTATTGACTTTATTTATTTTTTAATCTTGTTTGGTTTTTAAAGGAATAAAAGTAAAAAATATTTTTAGCTACAGTATTTTGTTTTCAAAGAAAATGAAGGGCAAGTGCTGTTACTGTACTGTACTTGGCATTAACCTCGTTGTTGTTAAGTTTAACTTTTTACTTCAGCTAAGTATCATTAAATGGAGGAGTATTTGAATTTGCAGTGTTCTTCTTTTCATTTGTAGGCATCCTTTTCTTCAGCACTTGTACAGTATTTTTGCTTTGTTAAATGTACCTTTTTTCAAAGTTATGACGTTAACCTTTTTACCATAAATACTGTACATGGCAACTCCTGAGGTTATGAGGGTGAATATGTATCTCAAATTTGAATATGGTAGCTTTTCCTGTTCTAAAGATGTTTTGGCCTTAGATACCAACAGCTCTGACCACCATACTCTTATGTGGCGACTTGCCAAGTGTGCGTGCACACACACACACACACACACACACACACGCACACGTAATGAACTCATTTTAGTATCATGTGAGGCTTGGTTCATCTTGTTTACTCTCATTTGTCGAGACAAAAAGTAACTTAGTTGATAAATCATATTATTTTAAACCCAACCAATTCTATATTTGTATTCCAGAACAAAACAGCTTTTAGTAGATGTCATTCGATGTGTTGAAGGCGGTGTAGTGGGAGAGCTGGTGACGGGACCTACCTTGGCTCCCCAGGAGGAGAAGTACCGGAGTATCGTCCACACTCGTAACCAGCAAGAACACCAAGCTAAGATGAACCACACTGCACTCAACCGTTCCAATTCTTTCCTTTCTGAAACCAGGTGAGGTTCACAATTATCATCACCTTCTATCAGTACACTGATGAATCAAAGCCTCCCCCATAAAGACTGAAGAGTTGGGCAATGGCTCACAAAGAATGTAACCAATGCATGTATAAGTGTCAAAATTATTTTGTTTATTCAAAGCTTCATCAGTGTCAAGATTCTTAAATTAATAACTGCTGTTTTTGATCGATAAGTTAATTATGGTATGTTTTAAGAGGTTGCAACCATCCACCTCTAAAATTAAGAGAACCAAAATCCTCAACTGTATTGTTCCTCAGATTACCTCTAGTCATGATCATCACCAACATTTTTATAGCTCTGATTACTTGATGGCATGGCATCCTGGTAACCATCAGGGAAATTTGAAGTGAGTTTTATGGCTGATTGCCTTTACTGCTGCCAACCCACTTTTACAGAGTGGAATGAGATTTCAATTTTGCTGTCATTCCCATTAATTTATGGATTCAAGTTTCCTCAGTTTCTTAATTACATGACCCATTTTATGGCACAACCCCATCTAAAAACAAGTGTGATTTATACCTTTCTAACATCCTTTCTCCTTTTATGCTTTCTGAGGGGGTTATTAAATGATACAGAAATCTCAAAAGGGAGAAATAGTAAGGAAAGTAGTACAAGTAGAGAAAGTGGGAGGGAACAACTGAAACATTCACTTCTGTAATAATTGGTTATAGAATATACAGGTACAGTGGTCCCTCGGTTAACGAACTCAATTCGTTCCAGAGGGTCGCTCGTTAACCGAAACCATTGTTTCAATGGGATATTGGGTAATTGGTTCCAGCTCGCAAAAAAGTATATACAAAGTAAAGCCAAAAACGCATAAAGTTAGAAACACTCCTAAAATTCCCCTAACTCGCCCTTAAATCACTATACTGTATATATATATATATATATATATATATATATATATATATATATATATATATATATATATATATATATATATATATATATATATATATATATATATATATATATATATATATATATACAGTGGGGTATGCTATAACGAATCTAATTGGTTCTAGAACCTTGTTCGTTATAGCATTCGTTCGTTATAGGATTAATCCGTTCCAGGCCCCCAAATACAACCACTTAACACTGAAAAATATAATATAAAATTGTAAAAATTGTAAAAAAGTGCATAAATATGCATCTAAACCCCTGAAATAACCAATATCATTAATACTTGTAATAAAAAAACAATAAATTAGTAAAAAAAAAAAAATTTTTAAATAATGTTCGTTGTAGGAGTTTCGTTCGTTATAGCATTCTCAATTTTATAGGTAAAACCGTTCATTATAGGAATATTCGTAGTAGGATCCGTTCGTTATAGCATGCCCCACTGTATATATACATGTACATATACACTCTTACTGTAGGCCTAAAACCCTGGCTGGGAGGGAGGGGAGGAGCCAGCCAGCGAGGGAGGAAGTGAGCGAGCGTGCTGGGGGGGGGTGTTGAGGTGATATGTTTGACAGTTTGAGCGGAAGGTCTCCTGTGTGTTTATTTAACAGTCCTACTGAGCTTCTCTCGTTTTAAAATGCCAGTGAAATGACCTGGGAGAATATAATTAACATTGCTGGAATTCTTATAAGATAGTGATTAATTTGAATATAAACAAGCTATAATTTGCATTAGACATACAAATTTTCGAACTAATTTAAGAATTTTATTACAGAGAGCAAAAAATTTTATCAATTGTGCAAAATATATGACGTTTATATTCAAATTATTCGCTGTCTTGCAAGGATTCCAGCAATGCAAATTATATTCTCTCAACTTTAGTCTAAGATATTATAGAAGATAAAATCTTAAAGCCTACTGTATAACCACAAAACCTTCGCTGGAAGGAGGGGGGGGGGTGGTTTGGGAGGGAGGGGTGACAGTGACATTTTTGTCAGTTAACGCCGAAGGTCTGTTGTAGCATTTATTTCTTTATTTATGTCGTTTAGTTGAGTTTTTGCTTTTTGCTCATAAAATTGCATAGAAGTGAAAGGGGAGAATATAATTTACATTGCTGGAATTTTATAAAATAGTGATTAATTTGAATGTAAACATGCCACCATAGTTTACACTGGACAAAAATTTTAGTAATCATTTTGCACATTATTCTGATTACATGTACAGTTCAGCTTTGTCCTTAGGACAGTGTGTGCATGTAAATGAGTTTCAATAAATGAATAAAGTTACATATATCAAGCCAAAAATAATAGTTGAGAAACTTTATGTAGACAGAGCTTGGATGGCTAAATTTTAGAATGACCAATAATTTTATTACTGTATAAAAAAATGCACAGATATTAAAGTGCACAATTTTCTTGATATTTACTCCATTGGAATTGAATGTAAACATAGAAGTGATTTCTGAATTGGCTGAGTACCCCCTCAACTTATCAGCTGATGTTCAAAACAAAATGTGATTTTTGTAAGGATTTTGTTTATCAATTTTTTTTTGTGAACCAAATTGAAGATTCTTATGGAAGGTAATTCGTTAACCGAAGCGTTCGTTAACCGAGGGACCACTGTATTCCTCGTTTAGCATCAGTTCACTTAACGTTAATTTGGTTTAGGGATAAAACATATTTTGACACCCTCCCTCACTTAAAGTTTAGTCATAATTTGGTTTAGTGAAAGCTTGACTCACTGGGAAAGGGAAAAATTTATTACATGTAATGAAACTATAAAAATCGTGGAAAAATCATCACAATACTCTAATTAATGCTAAGATGCATAAATACAGTATATAAAATACTCGTGGCACTTAGTATTTCAGCTATAACAACACAAATTAGCGTAGCCTTCTTTGTGCGTATTTACAGCTGATTCGCCAGGCAAGAAGATGATGGTAGCAATGCGTGTGATGGAGGGTGTGGGAGGGGGTTTTGAGAATTGCAATTAAATGCCAGGTAGCGACGTGTCCTCCTAATATTACGTATTAAGTAATTATTAGATGTTTTAATTGCCTGTATGTTGGCCTGGCTAGTTATTGCTAGGCATTAACATACCTAGGTATAAAGCTAGATGTCGCATTCTGGATTGAACAAAAACAACCATAACACCTCACAACTTGGTCCATTAGCCCAGTTGTTACAGTGACGAGTCTAACTTTGCTACAATACCGCCAGTGATGTTAACAGATGCAGATGTGAAAAGAAAGTTTTCTGTAAATCTTCATTTGTATCAGGTATTTGTTTATTTAAAAATAAATGTTGTAGGTATGACATTAATAGATACCCTGTAGTAATGCTTGTAAGAGTTCAGAAATGGTTACTGCTTAGCTACTTCTGAAGAGTTTGGTGTCTGTCCTATGGACGTTAATCGTTTCGTGTTTTCATCATCATCGGTACAGTAATTATAAATCCAGCTTTTATATTTACAATAATATTTTTTTTAATGAATTAATAGTAATAATACTGTGTTTAAGTAAGAAATAGCATTTTTAATTCTGGAGTTGGGTTAGGTAGAATTTACCCTACTGGAGACAGCATTTGAGGGATTCATTAGCATACAGGTGACTGCAACTTTACAGAGAGGATGCAGGGTGATCTTTTAGCCATTTTTCAGACAAAGGTGCAGCTATAAATGTACACAAAGGAAAGCTCCGTGAATTTGAGTTCTAATTGCTGAAATGCTTACCTACGCGAATGGACCTGTCACTGAGGAGATAGTATTGAGTGATGAGCTACAAAGACTAGAAAGTTCAGCTCGGGCACTAAAAACCAGTTTTTGTGATATAGCTCGGAATGCGACGTCCATAACTCACCCATCTCCACCCCTCGAGAGTTGACTTTTATTTACTGCTTGCTCTGAGGCAAGAGATGAGGGTCGTGATGCGTATAGTGGGGGTGAAGGAGGGGGTTTTGAGAATTGCAATTAAATGCCAGGTAGCGACATGTTCTCCTACTATTACTTAAGTAATTATTAGATGTTTTAATTGCCTGTATGTTGGCCAAGCGAATTGGCTAGGAATTAACATACCTTGGTAACATATGCTGACGTCGCATTCCAGAGCTTGAACAAAATCGTATTTTTTCTTATTTATTAATATTATTTGTAATTAATTCCACACATTTATGGAGGAATACATTACAGGGTCATAAAGATAAAGCACTAATCCGCTGATACTCGAAATTCAATGCAGCGGTTGGTGAATTGGTATACAGTCGTGCGCCGGTTAACGTCCTAGATACGTTCTTGGAAACATGACGTTAACCGAAATGGACGTTGTCCGATCATCACATAAACTTTTTATTTATAGTTACGTGTATGTGGAATACTATATACGTACATATAAACTTTTACTCTTAAATCACTACTGTAATGTGATACAGGTGATTAATTTTATCTCTTGTGCAAAATACATGACGTTTGTATTAAAATTATTCACTGTTTTACAAGGATTCCAGCAACGCCAGCAGATGGGGGAGAGAGAGGGTGGGAGCGAGCGAGCGAGGGGGCGTGGAGGGGTAGTACGTTTGACAGTTGGCACAGGCCCAGGTCTAACGTGTGTATATTTATCAGTTCTTAAGTGACTAAGCTTCTCTCTTATAAAAAGCCAGTGAAATGACCTGGGTGAATATAATTAACATAGCTGGGATTCTTGTAACATACTGATTAATTTGAATATAAACATGCTATAATTTGCATTTGACAAAACAATTTTAGTACCGTAATCAAATTAGTACATGTGCACTCCAGCTTTGCACTAAGAAATCTATATAAATGTACCCAAAAATACAGTTGAAAAACTTTTTTATAAAATGTACTACAGTACTGTACGCTAATGTACAACAATTTTTATCTCTTGAGCAAAATATATGACGTTTATATTCAAATAAGTGGCTGTCTTGCAAGGATTCCAGCAATGCAAATTATAATCTCCTAACTTTAGTCTGAGATATTATATAAGATAAAAACTGTAAGCCTAAAAGCCTGGCTGGGGGGGAGGGAGGGAGGGAGGGACTGCCGGAACCAGC